GCTAAGTTTATAATATGTCGAGACCATTATGCGATGACGATTTCACAATAGACCTTACGCAAGGAGAGAAGTTTATCGGTATATTTTAATAACATATTTCGTGGTAATACCGACGAAAACTTACACCTACCTTGTATTAAAATTATCTTCATCCATTTATGATAAAAATGCAGCGAAAAAGCGTTGATCTCCCTGAAAAAATGATGTTTATGGACGTCGAAACTACCTTCCCGCTACATTTTATTCTAGCGGGATGCAATGTTTGCCTCGTAGCGATCCTAGAAATATCTGCGCAAATGCAGGGACCCGATTGCTGGCGGCTCAGTCATTATGGCAACCATCCAACTCCACATAATAATAAACGCATACAAAATCTACAAGAACAGCGAAAAATAATATTCTGCGTTTATCGAGTTTCCGTTTGCAAAATTCGTCAGATTTAGACGCTGCAATACGAATCTTTCTTCCCCTGCACAAGCAAAATTCCACTATTTTCCCGTTCATATGTCACGTTACGCCTTGCATTTGCTCAATAGATATTTGCATTGTAACGCAATGATCTTTGTTGATAGTGTTTCTCCCCCTTGCATCTGATAATAAACCTTTAACTTTTCTGCCTTGGAAAGAAAACACCTCAGAACACATTTCATGTGACCGCAATTTTTTTTTTCTTTTTTCGACTGATTGAAAAAGAGGTATACGGCGATGAATTCAATAAGTTTTCCTCTGCCAGTAGCCTGCGAAGGAAGCCCTGGGGGGAGAATAGGGGGGATTGGGGCGAGCGGAATGTGCGCGGTTACAAGTCCAAAATGGTTTTGTCTTCTATTGTTATTCTTTTATTTTGTCTCATGACTTTTGATGAATCTTTGTCCATGGTAATAAATGAACGCTTTAATTTCTTTTACCTTGATTATGAATCATTTGTCATTTTAATGTTCTTTTGTATGATGCCCAGACTATTCTCTTCTTTATCTTCTTGTGACGTCTAAGACTCCTGGAAGGATCTTATTCATGCACCTTCCATGGTCGTTTTTCACAACAGCATCAAAAATTTTGTTTTCCATACGTGCTAGTTCCACGGGGAAATAGCAATCACATTATGACTATCTTTAAAATAAGGAACGGGAAACGGAGGTATAGGAGTGGAAGAATGGGGAATGGGGAATGGGGCCTGGAGGATGGAGAAT